TTTTCTATTCCCCAGGGCTTCTTCTGCCAAACAGAGGATGACTTTGATGACTGGTGTCTGCGCATCCGAAGGGTACGTCCCATCTCCCCAAGGGGGGAAAGTTTAATAAAGCAGGCAATTTTAAATAAATACAACCTAATTAATCATTTTGTATTGATTCACTGAAAAATTATTGGTTTTAATGCTGATAAATATGGCTTCCAGCTAATAAAAATAAACAGGATTTAAGAACAGAAATGGGTCTGGTGGCGGCCATGTTACAGTCTGCACCTTCATGGGGGAGGGAATAGCTGACTGGCTCAGTCATCCATACTGCCCGCTCACACTGAGCCTGGTTCTGCTGGAGGTTTCTTCCTGTTCAAAGGGAGTTTTTCCTCTCCACTGTCGCTACAAGCATGCTTAGTGTGAGGGATTGCTGAAGAGTCAATGAGTCGATGCAATCAGCTGGTTTTCCTTAGATAGAAAACTTTGAATGAATCTGACTGGATGATCTGGTTGAACTGTCTCTATAAAGTGAGCTGAGATGACATGATGGGAATTGGAGCTATAGAAATAAACTGAATAGAATTAAAATACTCTTGAATTCAGTGAACAAAGGAGAGACAATCATGGTGGACCTTTCATTATAGAGCAGAGGTCTTCAACAGGGGGACATGAATGTTTTGGTTGATTAGACTTTTTTTTTAATATTCCCTCCTGCAATTATTATCCACAAATTGAAATGTCTTTAAATCCAGACTGTAGTAAACAGATAAATGGAGGCAGAAGATGTCTTCAGTCATCAATGCTCACATTCAGAGACACACAGGAGCTCTTTAAGCTGGACACCGTTTCATTCACAACACCTGTCCCATCAACCAGGAATCAGAAATACTTTAATAATCCCAGGGAGGGATTACTTTAGCAGGGTTCCCGCGGGTCCTTAAAAGTTTTAAAAGGCATTGAATTCTTCAAATTAAAATTAAGGCCTTAATTGGTATTAAAATGTCTTAAATCAGTCTTTCGTAGGTCTTAATTTTTAAAACATCATAAATAGGATCATTTTTATTACAATTAATTTTTGTAATCTAAATAAAACATAAAAATTTACTTTTTTATTTTATTTAAAAAAAATAATGTCTCACCATTATTGGTTCCGTCCCGATAGCGGAACCAATAAAGCGTTGTTGCGGCCGGGACATTTGGGAGATGCACCATTAACTTTTTGCCTGGAAAATATGAGCAAGTGTAAATGGAACCAAAATTGTCTCCAGCCAAGAGTTTTCTCCATGGCTAAAACCAGGGAACATACATGAGGCTCAGTGGATTTATGCAAGAAGCCATTCAAGCTCAGAACGATGGGAATTAAGGCAGTGGAGTCGCACATGTGAAGCACGAAACACAAAGCGTCAAAATGGAGTTACAGAGAAACAGCCGGTATTTCTCAGTTTAGTTCCACCCTTGTCTCTGCAACGCCTCCACTTATCACCAAATCAAACATACTAAGAAAACCATACAAAGAAAAATAGCTGCTAAAAAGACTTAGCACTGGTTATGTTGGGGCTTTAAAATCCACTGAGCCTCATGTATGTTCCCTGGTTTTAACCATGGAGAAAACTCTTGGCTGGATAGACGATTTTGGTTACATTTACAGGTGCTGGTCATAAAATTAGAATATCATGAAAAAGTAGATTGATTTCAGTAATTCCATTTAAAAAGTGAAACTTGTATATTATATTCATACATTACATACAAACTCATATATTTCAGATGTTTATTTTGTTTAATTTTGATGATTACAAATGACAACAAATGAAAATCTCAAATTCATCATATCAGAAAATTAGAATATTACTGAAGACCAATAAAAACAAAGGATTTATAGAAATGTTGGCCAACTGAAAAGTATGAACATGAAAAGTATGAGCATGTACAGCACTCAGTATTTAGTTGGGCCTCCTTTGGCCTGTATTACTGCAGCAATGCGGCGTGGCATGGAGTCGATCAGTCTGTGGCACTGCTCAGGTGTTATGATAGCCCAGGTTGCTCTAATAGTGGCTTTTAGCTCTTCTGAATTGTTGGGTCTGGTGTATTGCATCTTCTTCTTCACAATACCCCATAGATTTTCTATGGGGTTAAGGTCAGGAGAGTTTGCTGGCCAATTAAGAACAGGGATACCATGGTCCTTCAACCAGGTACTGGTAGCTTTGGCACTGTGTGCAGGTGCCAAGTCCTGTTGGAAAATGAAATCTGCATCTCCAAAAAGTTGGTCAGCTGCAGGAAGCATGAAGTGCTCTAAAACTTCCTGGTATGTGGCTGCGTTGACCCTGGACCTCAGAAAACACAATGGACCAACACCAGCAGATGACATGGCACCCCAAACCATCACTGACTGTGGAAACTTTACACTGGACTTCAAGCAACGTGGATGAAGTGCCTCTCTTCTTTTCCTCCAGACTCTGGGACCTTGATTTCCAAAGGAAATGCAAAATTTACTTTCATCAGAGAACATGACTTTGGACCACTCACCAGCAGTCCAGTCCTGTTTCTCTTTAGCCCAGGCAAGACGCTTCTGACGCTGTCTGTGGTTCAAGAGTGGCTTGACACAAGGAATGCGACAGCAGAAACCCATGTCTTTCATACGTCTGTGTGTGGTGGTTCTTGAAGCACTCACTCCAGCTGCAGTCCACTCTTTGTGAATCTCCCCCACATTTTTGAATGGGTTTTGTTTCACAATCCTCTCCAGGGTGCGGTTATCTCTCTTGCTTGTACACTTTTTTCGACCACATCTTTTCCTTCCCTTCGCCTCTCTATTAATGTGCTTGGACACTGAGCTCTGTGAACAGCCAGCCTCTTTAGCGATGACCTTTTGTGTCTTGCCCTCCTTGTGCAAGGTGTCGATGGTCGTCTTTTGGACAACTGTCAAGTCAGCAGTCTTCCCCATGATTGTGTAGCCTATAGAAGTAGACTGAAAGACCATTTAAAGGCTTTTGCAGGTGGTTTGAGTTAATTAGCTGATTAGAGTGTGGCACCAGGGGCCATCAATTTTGAACCTTTTCACAATATTCTAATTTTCTGATATGATGAATTTGAGATTTTCATTTGTTGTCATTTGTAATCATCAAAATTAAACAAAATAAACATCTGAAATATATGAGTTTGTATGTAATGTATGAATATAATATACAAGTTTCACTTTTTAAATGGAATTACTGAAATCAATCTACTTTTTCATGATATTCTAATTTTATGACCAGCACCTGTACACTTGCTTACGGAAGAGGATTAGGGCCACTGAAAAAAAATAAAAAAAAGTTAACAGATTTTTAAATTTTATTTCAGTTTAGTATGGGAAAAAAATACTTTAATGTCAGAATTTTCTCGGAATTCTGATTTTTTATTGTCAGAATTCAGTCAGACTTCTGAGATTAAAGTCAGAATTCTGACTTTTTTCCCATACTAAACTGAAATAAAATTTAAAAATCTGTTAACTCTTTTTTTTTTTTTTTTCACTGGCCCTATTCCTCTTCCGTACTTGCTCATATTTTCCAGACAAAAAGTTAATGGCGCATCTCCCAAATGTCCCGGCTGCAACAACGATTTTATTGGTTCCGCTATCGGGACGGAACCAATTTTTTTTTATATATAAAAAAAAAAATTGCAATTTTAACGTTTTTAGATTACAAAAATAAATCGTACTAAAAATAATCCTATTTATGATGTTTTAAAAATTAAGACCCACGAAAGACTGATTTAAGACATTTTAATACCAATTAAGGCTTTAGTTTTATTTTGAAGAATTCGATTGCCTTTTAAGATTTTTTAAGGACCCGCGGGAACCCTGTGATCGTGACACATTTTTTAACTGATTAATGCATAAATTTATGAAATCACGGCTAAGGTATTAGTTTAGGATTAAACTAATACCTTTTACCTATTAGTTTAGGATTAAACTAATACCTTACTAATAAAGATCCATTCTGGATCCGTCCAGACTGGATGTCCTCCATGTCAAAGAGCTGCGGATCAACAGACCCACATTTCTGTTTTAAAATCCTCTTTCTGATAAACTGACTTTAGGATTTCACTTCACTGAAAGAGCCAGAAATAAAACGACTCGGTGCGTAAACTCTTCTGATGCATCGGTGTGATGATGTCACTTCTAGTTGTCCTGTAGGAAAGGCGGCCTGCCCATGTTTGAGTTGGTAGACAGTCAGCCCGTCCACATGGTCAGCGTCGACGCCCTGAACCTTACTCCTGGTAAATCAGCTGCATTCTTATTGAAAATAAAAAAGCTCTAAATAAGAGGAAGGATTTGATTTGTTTTTTAAATTTCCTCTGCAGATTTCTCAGACTCGGACAGACTGGAACGGTTCTTTGATTCCGAGGATGAAGAGTTTGAAATCTTGTCCCTGTAAGGACCTTTGAGGAACAGCGATACGGACAGTAGGCGAAGGTTCGTCTCTTCTCCAGATCAGAAGAGAAGCCCGGTGGGGTGGGGGGGTTGAACATTTATTAGAGACCTGCTCCAGAGGAAGCTCCTCCCATCAGCCGTGTCCCGTAGCTGGACTGAGGCTGCAGCCGGAGCTCAGGATCATCTGTATGCACATCTTCACACGCCTGAGTTCATTCCAGTCTTAACACTTTAAATGTTTATGCTGAAGTGACCTGGTGCCTTTCCCCTCCCCCCGCCCCCCCTGAGTAAAATCGCCATTACGGTTTTATGTTGACTAGACCCACAGCGGCTTACGCAGTTCATCCACTAATCCCTGCAGTCTGTAATGAAACCAAATTTTAGCTGCTGACGCAAAGTATCCTTGCCAAGTCTACCATGTACTCTCTTTCTGTTTGAAAATTATTTATTTAATCAAAACATAGGTAAGCGATGGAACAAGAGACGTGTAAGGACTAAAAATAAATCAACTGTTTCTCTCTTTCTGGTTTAAAAAAAGGAAAGTTTATATTACATGTGTCATGATCGGAATGGAGGCCATGTTTTCTGCAGAGGCGTCTTTATTTGCTCCGTTTTTCCTCCACCTGCTCAGACTCACTTCCACAGCTCCCCGAGGGGCGTGTTCTCCGTCCGCTCGATGATGTCCAGGCTGTGCGCTTTGATGTCGTTGTGAACTTCTTCAATATTCTGTGATGCATCAATTACCTGCAGAGCAGATTAACGGTATTATTAGATTATTTGTTAACCCAGACTGAACGGGAGCAAACCACCTTCATACCTTCCAGTTCACTGAAGGATCCTTCATGATCCGCTCAAACTTCTCCTGAACCGCCTTCTGGAAGCTGCTGGTCTCGTACCTCTCTGAGCCAAACTGACCCCGGGCCGCCGCCTCCGCCGGGTTCATCTTCAGGAACATGACGAGGTCGGGCTTGGGCAGCCCCCGCTCCGGATTCATGCACCAGTCCTGACACAAGCCCTGCAGAGGAACCCGAGGAAACGTTAGCAGACGGACTCGGTTTCACCGCATCCCTGGGAAACAACAGGAGAGAACTCACCAGCTTGGCGCTGGTAAAAGCTACGCCAGAGAAGGAGTACCGGTCCACAACCAGAGTGACGCCCTGCTCCAGCTTCTTCTTCATCACAGGCCTGAGACGTCAGGAGGAAACACACAAACTACAGTTTCCCACAGTCCACCACAGAAACTAAAGGTTTTTAACAGAATGGTGTGGCTGGAAGGTCAAAGGTCATCGGTTTCATGTTTTTCAGACCAACTGAAGTTCAAATATTTTGACAGAAGTTTGCTTTAAAAAAAATGGATGTATACAGTATTACATTGGAAGGAAGGAAAAGAGAGAAATAAAGGAAAAGGAGCGATAGAACCGCGGTATGGAGTGAATTTTGTTCCCTTATTGTTGAAAGCAAAGAACGTGTTTTCTAACCAGAAAAAAAGTCCAGAAATTAAACTTTGAAAAAATAACTTCTCATTCAAAATTTTATTTTGAGAAGAAAGTCGTAATATTACGAGAATAAAGTAATCATACAGCAACCCGTTTCAGAAAGAAAGCTTGGAGCTCCGCCCAGCAGATGACGGCCAACCAGCTCCACCAATCAGCAACCAGAGTCCACTTTGAAATCCTGCCCAGTTTGATGCTGCTGCTAAAAGATTTCCTGATTTGTCAAACCGACGCTAAAGTATAACTTCACATGATGCTCCACATTCCTCATTTAGGGAAGAAAGGCCTTCTCGCAATAATAGTTATAAAATATAAATTTATTCTTGTAATTTTATGACTTTATTCTCGTAATGTTACGAATTTATTCCTGAAATAGAAAAAAAAATCTAGCCTGGCCCTAATACTCCTTTATATGGAATAACTTTGTAGTTTTCTCATATTTCAATATTTTGAGACATTTTGTTTTCAGACGTCTCTTTTTCAGATTGTTTTTTTACGTATTTCATTCTTCATATTCTGTTCACATCAGGGGGCGGGGCTTTCCTCTGGATGGAGGAGCAAAGACTCATTTCTATTGGTCTGCTGGACGTTAATTAATCCAGAGCGAGCAATCGTCATTGGCTTTTGTAAAAACTCAATCTGAATACAGAAAATAAATATATTTTCAAAGGTTAAAATATGGAAAAATAAGTTTTAGATAACTAATTTGAAAACTAAAATATGAGAAAACTCCAAATCTTTTTTCTTCTTAACAAGTTTTTCAAAGTTTACTTTCTGGATTCCGAGAAGAAAACAAGGACTTTGTTTGCAAAAATAACGGAACCAAATTCCCACCATAAATGAACGGCTGATTTTTCTTTGGAATGCTAATAAAAACAATGAAGGTCTGTATTTTCAGACAGATTGTTCTAGAATATAATAACCTTTAGAGTTTAGCTATTTTTATATCTATGTCCTGCCATGAGTTTGGATAATTGACATATTTCTGATTCCATAAATAAAACCAGATTTAAAAATTCAGCTCTTACAGTTGCTAAAACATTTCGTCAAATCTTCACAAAAATATTCAAACCCTTTAAATCTTTTCAACAGCAAAATAAAATTAACAGCTGCACTCCTGAATAACTGAAGTAAAAAGAGGAAGAATTATGGTTTTAATTCCAGAAGTGCAGCAGACGTACATATTCAGCCTGCTACCAGTAAATAAACCCCAGTCGAATTGTCTCCTACACTAGGACTAGTCAATCACTAACTCCAAGTCTTTTTATTTTTATTTTTTCTTATTTAACCAATGTTTCTTTCTACCTTATAGTTAAACATGTTTTATTCTGTCATAAAATCCAAAGCAAAACACATTGAGTTTGTAACGTAAGACTCGTTGCTTAAGCTGTTGGAACAACTTAATCTCAGAAGCACTTGAAGCTTTTATTTGTTCAGCCTTAGATAAACATTTTTTATATTTAATTACTACCATAAAAATGTAAGTCTCAATCAGGGTTTAGACAGGCCAAAATAAACAGCTTTCCACCTTCTGCCATAATGTCTCACATTCATTTTAATATTACACTGTAGGGATGGATAATGAGGCATTTAGAAGCCAAACTGTATTGATACTGTCTCACCGAACACTGACACCTGCTGGACATTTAAAGACACTACAGGCAGCTGATTTTACAGGCTTCACTGAATTGATATGAAATAGTACAATGATGCAATCTAAGTTATTGTCAGTTATATTTTATTATTTTATTTCTATGTTTAATTGAAAATAACTGATATTTTTTGATGCAGCCAATAAATAATGTAAACATATAATGTGAAATTTAGGGGGAAATGTGAATGAGGACGCTTGTGGACAGTTAAAAACAGTGAATAAACTTAGAGTAATTTTGAAATAAAGTTTAATTCAGATAACTTGAGTGATAACTGAGAGGAAAAGGATGACAGAACGAGAAAATTAAAAACGCAGCGGCTGAAATGTTCCTATTCCTTTTAGGCTGCTCCAAAAATGTCTTGATCATTTTAATGATAAACTGTAAAAGATGAGACATTTTTAGCAGATGCATCATGTTGACAGTTATGCTTTTAAACAGATTTAGTGAGTTTCTGGAAATGACACGCGCAACAACTCAGTGTTTTGCTCTATGGGCTTCGATGCATCGGTGCTGCTGGACCCATCGATACTACTACTACTTTTTATAAACATCATCAAACCAGCAGTCTTATTTATTTAAACTATTTTGGATTTAAAAATATTAAATAAAACATTTTTCAAACATAAAATAAAAAAATTAAAAAAAACGACAGTTTCAAAATGTTATGGGGGAAACAGATTATATCAGGTGGCTAAAATCTTTGATTTCCCTCTCATAACTCTGGCAAATAATGATCAAATGTCACCAAATTCAGAGGATTAATTGTTGATGAATAGAGGAATAAACACAGTGAAAGACTTGCAGGTGAATTAATTTCTTCCCATATTAAGGAGAAGGGGGGAACAGATTATTTCAGGCAGCTGAAATATCCTCTCTCCTCTCATCCTCCCATATCTTTGGGAAATAAAGAGCAACTGTTTCCAAATTCTCGTGGGATAGCATGTAATATACTATAAAATGTCCTGATGAAGGTTCTCAGTCATCCAGGTCATAGTCATTCCGTAAAAATTCAAAAAAGATCCACTGGACTTGGTTTTCAAGATTTGAAGACGTTTCGCCACCTCTCCAACTCCAACTATAAAATGTCCTTAATCTTTCATATTTTATTTATCAGGAAGTGTAAACCGTCATCTTCCCCCTCAGGGCCCCTGATCTCTTGAATCCTAGATCCGCCCCTGCATCAATGAGTCATCAAACTCTCCCTATAAAAGGTTAATGTGATAATCTGCTCCTTCCTGTGTGGCATCAGTGAGGTGGAACAGGTGTGTGCATCTTACACCAGCTCCCAGCGGTTGGCAGAGAACAGCAGGTGGACGGTGTGGTCCTCCAGCTCACTCTTCTTCTCCAGGTAAGCGCTGATCACCTGTCCGATCGCCGTGCTCCTGTCTACAGAAAGGAAAGAGAAACATCTAGAAGTTCAGCCCTCCTCACACAGCTGGAAATAAGCTAACACATCCCTGCTAACTTCTCCTCACCGGGAAACCGGATCATCTCAGCGGGGCGGCCGCTCTGCTGCAGCGCCTGGACCAGCCTCTGACACTGGGTGGTTTTCCCGGCTCTGTCCAGCCCCTCCAGGACAATCAGAGCGCCTCTTTTAGACGCCATTACAGCAGAACGGCTTTAAATATCAGCAAAGATTTCCAGATTGCACTAAAGAAAGAACGCCCAGAACAATTTACCCGCGGTTCATTTACCCGGAACTATTTTCACAAATGTCTTTTTATACTTCCGGTCAGAGTTTGCCGCGCCGCCTACTGGACTGGGGTGGAAGGGAAGAGCGCCACTTGCAGGCAGCAGAAACAAAAAGGAACAAAGTTCTTTAATTTCAGGGGCGGATCTAGAAAAATATTTATGGGGTGGCAAGAGGGGGGCAGGAATTTTTTAGGGGTGGCAACATATGGCATTTGTTTACACTGAATTTATTCACAGTTATCACAGTTTGGTGAGAATAGTATGTAGAGTAAGTGTTTCATGTGAAACAGTTCATATTAGAAATACATCGTACAATGAGATCTCACTTAATAGGAGATAGAAGAATGATAACACTACTTCTAGAGGGGCATTATCACAGGAAAGGTATTAAGGTAAGACACAGGTGCTGAGTCGCAGATGTGACAGATTGACTGTCAGAGAGGCAGCTTTGCAGCATTTGCACAAGAAGAAACTATAGAAAGAAAAAGTTCCCCATCAGAGATCTATGGACTGAGCTGTACTAAAGTCAGCATAACTACACAGTAGAAATAAATGGGTCAAGGCACCAAACAAGGTACCAGACATCCATGTAATGTTTACTCTGAACACACATTTACCCCATTTGTTTCTCAGTAACTTGACATACAGCAGTTAAGGCAACATGAAAGGGACATTTCATGCATGTAAATATGCTGTAGATAGAGCTGTATATGGAGGACCAACTCTGCCATATTTAAAAATAAATACAGAAATAAATAAATGCTCAATAAATAAATAAACATACAATTAATTGCCACCAAAAGTACAACCAACAAATAAATGTAATTAGAAATTATATTATAATGGCAGGCAGAAATGTTAAAAGGGCAGGCAGAAAGAAATAGCGGCGAAGAAATAACTAGGGTAAAAAAATATCAAGGAAGAATAAAACAGACAAAAATATGATAACATGCACATAAATAAATACTTAAAAATATAAGTAATTAAAAAATGAAGTTGAAGATAATAAATGACAAAAAAAAAATAAATAAGGTAAATTTTAAAAAGGCAAAGAAATAAAGAAGCCAATTAAAAGTTATTAAGAGTTATATACCTTTATGACTAGCTGTATAGTTTAATTTCTACTTACATTTGTTTGTTGTTTGTATTTTTGGTGGCAATTAATTGTATGCTTATTTATTAAGCATTTATTTATTTATGTATTTATTTTTAATATGGCAGAGTTGGTCCTCCATACTGCTGTATCAACAAATCAACAAAAAGGCGGGTTCTGTATGTTACATCAAAATCTCCACAAATCTGAAAAGAAGCAACATAAAAATACATTTTGCTTGTGAGTAGGTTCATACAGGTCATTTCTGGATAGTTTCATATTATATATACAAAAAAAGAAACAACAACACTGCTTCATATTAAGCAGGATTTACACCAGTATCACATTTTTAACTTTTAACACTTTTGGTTTTATTAAATTAAATATCAGATTTTCTCAGGTGCCAAAACAAAATGTAACATCTCTGTAAAGGCTCACCAGAGAGCATAACATAAAGTTACCTTGACTATAACAGCTGAATGCAGTGATTTCCATGTTGCTCAGCAAAACGCTTCACAACTTTATTTAGATCCAATGCCTTTGTGCGTTTTGATTTGAGTGCAACCAAACTATATAGTCTCTTTTCTGTCATAGTTGACCGCAAATATTTCTTTATGAGCCTGAGACGTCAGGCCTAACTAACATCATAGATAGAGAAATAACGTTCTGCAACCTGATTTTTATCATCTGTAAATCAGCATTGCAGCTATGCTAGCAACATTGTACTTTCATTATGATTTAATTTCTCGATAGATAGTTAATCAGTTTTTACCTGTTTCATCCCGTGTCTCCTCTCCCCATCACCCCTGGCTCCCTCGCTTTGCCCCGCTCGGTTTTCAAAACTAATCAGTCTCACTCGCTCTCGCGTCATCTCGTGCTGCATTCACTGCAGTCCGACATTGGAAATTAGCGGTCGCAATTCTCAAATGATCCATAATTTATAAGCCTCGCCACCCCTACCGGCAACTGGGGTGGCAGCTGGGGTGGCAAGGCAGTCATTTAGGGTGGCAGTTGCCACCCTAAGCCACCCCAGTAGATCCGCCTATGTTTAATTTTATCTTTAAGTTTGGCTGTAAGGTTGTGTATGCAGGGGCGGATTGAGGAAATTTGGGAGCTGAGACACACTTTATATTTTAATCGTTCTGATGGTATTTTAGCCAAAGGATTTTTATCAAAAACATCATTAATGTGCAAAAATAAGGAATAGTTGTATTAACCATACATGAAAACATAGTTTTATGGGCCCCCCAGGAACTTGGGGCCCTTAGGTAACTGTCTAGTAATGCCTGCTGGTAAACAGTGTGTATCTTACGGTTATGTACGTAACGGATTCTTTTTTCCCCTCAATATTTCCAGCCAGACTATTTTAAACCGCTCCTCAGGGCCACAAGGCCAGCAGAGGGCGCCAAAGAGTGTTTTTTATTTTACTTTTTATTTTTGGTGTGTTTTGTTTTTATTGCATAAAACAACTTCAAAATTCTATTTAAGTTAACACAGAACCGTGCCTGCTTTCTTATAAGCACAGTTTACTAAATGTTATAAAAAAAATTATGATTTTTTGTCATTAAAAGAATAAAGAAATTTAAAAATAATACCCACGCAAATCCCTCATCATTTAATTAATTTAAATACTGCTGTAATTTGGATATTTTCTGCTACCCATTCTTGCTGTGGCTTAAACTTCACGCACAGTATATATCTAATGAAATTCAGAGCAACCAACTGCAGTGAGAAATAAGAATAAATCCAGTAATTTACTGCTCTTAAATTTTAACCTTTTTCTGAAGCACCGTTTATTGATTAAACAGTATGGAACAGCTGATATTTTTGTAATCGATTTAGGCGATTCAGTGCTAAGTCACTGTTATCTGAGTTTGCTCCATTAAGTGAAGTGAAATGTTCCAAAGAATCATGCATGGCGATATAACAGATGTCAGGAATTCTGCAATTGCTGCAACTGGGCAACTCTAGAAAAAACAAACATTTCTGGCGGCTTAGAAACTTAAGTTTTGGTGTAGATTGAGCCTCTGACTGTAACAGTCCTGTCTGTACAGGAGGAGCTACAAAGCCTTAGATCAAAAGGTTCTGTTTAATTAATGAGGCATCTTGAAGCCAAACTGTATTAATCCTGTATTGAAGATGTCTCACAGAATACTGACACCTGCTGGACATTTAAAGACACTACAGGCAGCTGATTGGACAGACTGAACTGAATTGATTTGATGACCTAGAACAAGGATTCTATGGAGGACCAACTCTGCCATATTTAAAAATAAAAACATAAATGGTCAATAAATATATAAGAATACAAATAATTGCCCCCTAAATACAATAAACAAATAAATGTAGGTAGAATTTAAATTATACAGTGAGACATAGATTTTTATATCTCTGTTTTATAGCTTCTTTATTTATTCGTCTTTGTAATAATTATGTTATTTATTTATTGTCTGTTATAATCTTCAAATTAATTTATTTATTACTTATTTTTTAAGTATTTATTTATGTGCAAGATATAATATTTTTGTCTATTTTATTCTTCCTTTGTATTTTTTTACCCTCTTTATTTCTTCAACACTATTCATTTCTGCCTGTTGTTTTTACATTTCTGTCTGCATTTCTGCCTCATTATGCAAATGAGGAGGGGGGGTGTCTTAGAGAGTCAACTTCGAGTTATCAAGTAATCAAGTTATTGTAGGTTAAATTGGATTATTTCATAATTATGTTTAATTTAAGAAATATCTTTGATATTTTTAGATGCAGCCAACAACTAATGTCAACATATATCATAGCGTGAAAATTTATTGGAATGTGAGAATGAGGATGCTTGTGGATTTTAAACCCATCCATCCATTTTCCTTCATGATTATCCCAATGGATGCTGCTGTCTATCTACAGATGTCTACGGGTGAGAGGGGGGGTTCATCCTGTCTCCAGTCCATCGCAGGGCAACACAGAGACAAACAGGACAAACAACCATTCACACCTAAAGAGAATTTAGAGAAGCTAATTAACCTAACAGTCATGATTTTGTCGATTTAAGCGATTGTGGGAGAAAGCCGGAGTACCCAGAGAGAACCCACGCATGCTCAGGGAGAACATGCAAACTCCATGCAGAAAGGCCAGGCCAGGAATCGAACCCAGAACCTTCTTACTGCAAGGCATCAGTTTTTAAATAATATTATTAAAACAATAAGTACAGTAAAAACAGTAAATAAACTAAGACTAATTTTGAAATTAACTTTAATTCAGATAAGTTGATAACAGAGAGGAACAGGATGACACAATGAGAAAATTTAAAGGAAAAGTCCACTCATATTCAGAATTCAAAGTACTTTAATCGTGTCTTCAACATGGTGTCTCTGTCATTTTATTGTTGATTAATATGCAAATAAAGAAGGAAGAATTCAGTCTCACCAAAACAGATGTTAGTTTTATTCATTTATAATTCACAAAGTTTCAACAAATGTTGTGATGAATGGTTGTTTCATCGGCACAAATGTTAACGGGTCCGAATAAAGATTACTGCAGCCTATACAGATTAATTGTTTTTTTTGTGCTTATTTTTAATTTTTGACGGGTTTATTTTACACTTTGCTCCGGTGGCAGTGCTGCAGGGCATCTCTCAGCACTTCCAGCAACATATCCACGTTTGCCTTACTGCTGTTGAATCCCATCAGTCCCACACGCAACACCTGAGAGGAGCAGAAACAAGCCCAGCAGTCTTAGCTGGTGTGAACATCCCCCCCATTGAGCAGCTAAATGCCTCCGTCCCTCTTACCAAACCAAGTGAAGGTCCCAGCCCTCCAGAAATCTCTAAGTTGTGCTTCTTCATGATGTAGGAGGTGATCTCTTTCCAGTCGTATCCAGGAGGAGAGACGATTGTGGTGACGGTGGGCAGTCTTGCACGCTGTAACCAAGTTTATCACATTATAATGAAGCACTGATCTTTATAGAGGTTCCTCTGCCTGTTTCCTCTTTAGTAAAAAAAACTGCAGATTTACACTGCAAAAAAATCAAAATCCAAGTAAGTTAATTTTTCTTAAAATAAGCATTTTTTTTCTTGAATTAAGCAGTTAAGTGAGACACTCTGCCAATGAAATAAGGAAATTTACATTCAAAATAATAAAAAATAAACTGCAGTCTCTTATTTCAAGTGCATCATATCTAATTATCTTACTTTACACTTATTTTAAGAGTAAAAAATGCTAATTCCATTGGCAGATTATCTTATTTACCTGCTCAAATTAAGGGATATACTTAATTTAGGAGATTTGTACTCATTTTAACATAGTTTTTGCAGTGTATTCTGAACTTCACCTTTTCTTTGACAAACAGTTTGAGACCCAAGCTCTCCAGGCCGGTGTGGAAATACTCGGCCACCTTTTGATGCCTCTCCCACGAATTCTCCAAACCCTTACAGAAATCAAACAGCCGTTAGAAGAAAGAAAAAAAGACATCAACAGAGAGTTTATAAGAGGGAAGAAATTCTGTTACCGTATTTTAACACATCAGCCAACATAACGACTACCGTTTCACATGTCAATGTGTTTTATAGCAATGATGCAAAGCAAACAGAACATTTTCTGGTGAAGATTTTCAGTCAGATTCATTCGAAAAAAGTAAAAAAATAAAAACCCAAAAAATCCCAGAACATTTCAAACCAAACAGACCTTAAAACAGAGACTAGTTCATCCTAAAGACCTAATCTGAACAGAGTGGTGTCTGCAGGTCAATGCAGTGAGGAACGCTCTGATCTTTATATTGGAGAAACCAAACAACCTCTCCACAGACACATGGCCCAACACAGAAGAGCGCCCTCCTCTGGACAAGACTCTACGCTACATCTACCCCGATGGACAAAGGACATTCTTTGGAGGACCAGAATGTTCACATTTTGGAGAAAGAAGACAGGTGGTGTGAGAGGGACGTGAAGGAAGCCATCTTTGTTAAGAAACAAAAAACAACCTTAAACTATCATTGCAACCCCCAACCCCGTTTATAGGAGAACAGAAGACCTCTCCCATTCAGCCAGGCCAACTATTCCCTCTAACGACCCCCTTTCAGAGACATAGACAGGTATGGGGCATTGCAGGCTAACAAAGAAGCCAAACGACCCCCATTCATTTGTTTCAATTTACATGTTTTCTAAACATAAACCAGGTTTTGTTGGGCTGCTGGATAAAACCTGGAACTAAACGCCATTTCTGACATTTTGAATTGAAAAAGCTTCCTGGATGGAAGAGAAACGTCTCCCTTTTCAGTTCAAAATTTTTCTACTTATTTTAAGAAAAAGTGACTTATTTAGATTACATTTTTTTGCAGTGTGAGCTTCTATTTAAAAATAACAGACAGTAGTTAGAACCTCAAAATATGCCGAGCGGGTCGAGGGAGACTTTAAAACAACATGACTGGGCAAAGTTCTGACCCAGACGCTGAATATAGATCTATATTGTTCAATTCTGAAATCCATGCATCTTCTTTCTAAGTAGAGTATCATTAAACCCACCCTGGATCTAACCTGACTCCGCCAGATGGATTTGCTCCGCATATCCATCTGGAAACCTTCAGTTGAAGTAATTTTGGGAAGGGGCGAAAATACTGGTTAGCTGATTGGCCTATGTTGGTGATAGACGGGCCAAATAAACCAATCAGATCAACGAAGCATATGACGTACTAACAGCCAGGCTACTCTTGCCGAAACCAGTCGGGAGAAGAGCAAAAACATCTTTTCCTCTGAGAAAAGCCTCCAGTGTTTTGCTCTTCTTTCAGTGAAGAAATACTCTGTAATTCCCATAAAACTTGCTCGATAGCCACGCTAACGCTAGTTTCATCGGCTGAAGCCGCCATGTTCTTTAGACTGAACTGTCGCGCTTCTCGTTGCGTCACACCTCAACCCGCCTCAAAGCCAACGCTGATTGGACGTTCGTTTGGTGAACGGCTCCAAATTTTCTTTAACGGAGAGTCTCCAGACTGATTAGCGAGTGAAACCTTGAAAGCTCGCGAGATCAGGATGGTCTCACAAGGCTACCCTGGCTCATCACAGAACAACCAAATAGAATATACTGAGTTTTATGCTTATTTAATAAAATCCATTTTAAATCCCACCTCATCAGCAAGGACAGCCAGGCTCTCCCTCAGGGAGTAAAAGGCGGTAACGGGCCCCGTATGGTGGTATCTGTAAAGCAGACAGAGCTTTGCAAAGTGATCTCTCCCTTGTAGGCTCTGTGCGCCCCCCCCCCCCCCCCCCCCCCCCCCCAATCGTAGCAGACCTTACATCCTCTGTGGTTTATCATCACAGCCCCAGTAGTTTGCAAGCCAACTCAAATCCAGGAAGAACGACACAGGCTTTGTTCTCCGATTGAATACTTTCTGGCTGTGGGTCAAAACCTTCCCTTAAAAACATGTTTCTTTTTCATCACGTTTGAACATAATGCGTTTTCTCACCATGCTCTCTCACTGAAGGAAATGGGGGCTGTCCCAGGGGGGGCATTCAGAACCTTTTGGGAGCCGGTATACAAGATATCGATCCCTGCAAATAGAAGCATTGATGGAAAAGCCTTTAATTGCACCGATACCGATACCAGTATTGAGTAGGGCCCCGATCCAGCACTAAAATGGTGGTATTGTATCGGCGAGTACCAACCTATAGGGCACCGATACTATTTTGAGAGCCTAAAGTTTCTTCAACTATTGTCACCCATTCCAGGTAGGCAATAAAAAGTTCTACTGGATTCCCTTTTAGTCTTTTTTCTGCTTCACAAAGGTAGGCAGCAGCTTGACAAACCATGATGGCAATTATTTAACATCCAAGTAGTACGCAGCTCTTCATATATACACACATCAATTTCAAATGGATGGTGTTGGTATCGGCCAATGCTGCATAGCCAGGTATCGGGGCCAAAAAATGGCATCAGTGCAACACTAATTGATACTGCAGCGAACAGAGGCTTTATTGGACTAGTTGGTGCTGTAAACCTTGCTGGTCCATGTAGACGGGGGCTCCTCCTATCGAAGCCACACAGTCAACAAGAAACAGGCAGCCATACCTGAAGGACATAAAGCAGCAAAGCTCAGACATCATCTCCTGTCCTGCATCAGAGATCAAACAGTAGATGTGATCAGCAGGTCTTACTTGTGGCACATGTCACCGATGCCGTCTAAGGGATGCAGGACGCCTGTGGACGATTCTCCGTGTGCGAGGAAGAAGAGGACTGGCCTGTGTTTGGATAAAGCCTGAAGACGGACAACACAACAACTACAATAACAGTCTGTCGCTTCTTTGCTTTAATCAGTCTGATCGCTTCTGTGATGTGCAGCAGTACCCTCTCAATCTCTGAATTGGTCAAGTAGCCTCCAGGGGGCGCCACAATGGTCTCCACTCTTGCACCTGTTGGATGGACACACATTCTGATGGGATTTATACACAATATGGTGTTGATTATAAAAGGATGTGAGGGATGTTTGTTTGGTGACAAACACTAAAAAAAGAAATACTGTTTTGCTCCATTAGGTGAAATTAAATGTTCCTCCAGCTGAAGGAGAGCATCCCCGCAGCATGGTGCTGCCTCTACCATGTATCACTTTATGTGTAGAATGTGGAGTTTATCGCCCATCGTAGAAATGAACCCCCTGCCTGGCCCCTACAGGCCCATACAGTCTGAAGATGCAGAAGCTTATTAGAAAGCGTAACAAAAGGCTGAAAGGAGTTTCACCGCAGAGCTAAGCCATGCGTATGGGGCGTCTCTGCGTTGCCATGGTACCAGATACTTTCCTTTTCCACTGGAGGGAAGACGGCGTTAAATCTGTAACAACGTTGACCAAAATGCATAGAACTTTCTTTACAATAACACTTTGATATTTTAGTTTTCAGTGTTGTGCATGAACCTTTTCAATGAACGGCGTTCAATTCAATTCTATTCAGTTTATTTCTATAGCTCCAATTCACATCATGTCATCTCAGGTCACTTTCCAGTTCACCAGATCATCCAGTCAGATTTATTCAAGGTTTTCTATCTAAGGAAAACCAGTTGATTGTATCGACTCATTCACTCAAAGGCAATCCTTCATGCTAAGCATGCTTGTAGCGACAGTGGAGAGGAAAACTCCCTTTGCACAGGAAGACACCTTCAGCAGTTCAGCGTTTACTGAATCTGTTCAGATTTTTAGTGAACGGATCAGTTTTGAAGTAATGAACATGAACCAGAGCCAGTGTTGAATAGTAACGAAGTAAAAATACTTCACTACTGTACTTAAGTATATTTTGGAGTACTTTATACTTTCCAAGGGTATACATTTTTTTTGAGAACTTTCACTTTTACTTCACTACATTTACAAACTTAATTGCATACTTTTACTCCGATACATTTTCAATGTTTGGTTTAGTTACTAAGTAAAAAAAAAAAACAAGAGAGAGAGTGTTTTGACCCCCCCTACTGACTATAAAGTCGGGTCTTGCCTGGGCTCGTTCATCAACACCAATAGGCTACATTACTTGAGTACATCTATTTTTTTACAGTAATTCTTATACTGAAGTACAAGCCATTTTAGATACTTTAAGACTTTTACTCAAGTAACATTTCAGTCAGTGACTTGGACTTTTACCAAAGTCATATTTTGGAGAGCTACTTATACTTTTACTTGACTCCGAAATTTCAGTACTGTATACAACACTGACCAGAGCGACGTTCACTCTGAGAATAATGAGCGACACACACCGCTCACGACGGCGTTCAGTTAACGACTCTCCTCATTGGCTAATGTCAGGTTTAACGGCAGTTATTACGGCAAACATCCTGACAGAGCAGCATGTCTACTGCTAGTACCAGTCTGATCCATTCAGACTCATCTGCTGGGATTTCTGATGCCAGTTTGATTAACTAACAAAGGGAGACTGCGACAGAAGAAAACTGTTCCCACCGGGACTAAACAATCAAGTCTGTACATCAGCCACGTGAGGAACGGAATAAATAATTTTGGATCCAGATCTTTTCAGCAGAACCTGAATGTTTCTGAAGCTCTGTGTCGTTTGGTTAAATAAAAGCTTCACTGCACATCCAGTAAACCTGGACTGCATCAAGAATTTCCATTTCTTAGTTCTATTGTGGAGGCCAAGGGGCCCTGTCGCCCTGGGCAGCACTGAACCTAGATCCGGCCCTGGTTTTCATGACGCAGTTTGTTCACTAATGTTTGCTGACAAACCTCTGGGGCCTACAGAGAGTACATTTCTGTCTATCAGACTTGTTTCCCAGCAGTCTTACCAATCCGTTCGGCCATGTCGGCGGCTCGCTCCCCCCAGATACCGTTGACCCCCACCAGCACGTTCTCCCCAGGCTCCACCGTGTTGAAGATGGCACACTCCATTGCTGTGTGGCCGGTGCCACTGACAGCAAAAGTCGTCCTGTTTTGAGTCTGGAACATGTACTGGATCCCACTCTTGATTTGGCTCATTATCTGTTGTGAAATTTAAACCTCTTTAGGCAAAAACTGAAACATCTGTCTCTGTGTTAAGCACGTTTGTCATGTCTCCATATTTCAGAGAGAGCAATTAATCTCTAAATGTTGATAGATGGAGCTTAGAAGCTCCATCTATCAACATTTAGACAGAGGTCAAACCTCCTGTTTTACCTCAAATGTTTCGGGGTGCATGTGTCCGATGACGGGGTTGGCTCCAGCCTCCAAGATGCGTGGAGGAACATTGGAAGGTCCTGGTCCAAACATGTAACGCTGAGGGACAACCATGCGCTTCTTCAGGCACTGAGGCGGAGGTATAGAGACGGGCGACATGTTTTCACGGCAGGATGAGCAAAAATAGAGATGAAAAAGATTTAAGTGTCGCCTCAGCCAAATTCCCTCCTCTGACTGGCCAGTGGAGTCCACAGGTCAGGATCTGCTACCGTGTTTACCTTTTTTTTTATCTTCTGTGAACTCTGAATACTTAACCAGCTCAGAAAACACGTACTTTCCTATGTCCAGTGATAGGGGACACACCAAACATGGTCCTGTTTGTTAATAATTTACCAGTAGGATTACTGGCTACCAGAATTAACTGTTTGTTTCCCATATTCTTTCAAACCCCCTGAGTTGTTTCTATTGAGAAATATTTCACAGTATTTCACTGAATTACTACAAAAACAAACAACAAAAATAAAAAACATCTGAATGCAGCTTTAATCAGGTGTTCTGCAAAAAATATTGAGAAGAAAGAATTTCATGTTTCCAAAGAATCTTGAATTTAATAAAGACGAGCTGATAAATGTCCTGTTTGGCCTCATTGCTTCTTTATCTGAGCAGCAATACCTTCTGCAAAAAGTACCTGGCTTTAAATAAATTAGCAACAAACAAATGCGTTGTCCTATTTTTACCCTGTTAGCATCTTAACTACACTTTGCAATATGTAATACTTCTAAATATAACGTGATGATTGATGCTAGTTACTTGAAAAGGGGATTATATTTTAACTTCTTTTTGCAACTTACCTGCAGAAGTACAACTAACCACTAGTTTAGTTTAAAGCAGCTCTATGTAACGTTTTGATTTAGGCTTTAGCTTAATTTGGGAAATCTTCTGATCAAAACTTGGAGTGTTTTGATGCTCCATGCATACTGTCCTTCAAACAATTACTGAGTGCAGCTTTACAACAGTTAAAGAGCTAACTAAACTAAACTAAACATATTTGACCCTTACTTGATCAAATATACTCTAGGATTTAATGTAGAGGGGTGAAGCTGGCCTTATCTTTATAAGTAACTCCATAACTTCTTAATCTGGACTCTAAAACACTTAGGAATACGGGGTACATTTCAGGTTATTCTTGTGTCTTATGAAAAAAAGTTCTCCGGTCAGAGAAACAAAATGGTCCCATCTGGAAAAAAAGAAATGTCTCAGAAAAATAAAATTTGTCAGTCTCAGAAAGTTAAACCTGTTAGGTTTCAGAAAAAAAAAAACATTGTCAGGTCTCCAAAAAATAAAAGCTGTCAAGTCTCAGAAAATAAAAGCTGATGTAGGGTTTCATAGGGATTATGTTGGCCTTGTTAATGCAGTAAAAGCCTTAATCTGCTGGTCCAAAGTCATCTCCAAAAACAGAGAACTTTTCTGACTCTTGTGACTTAATCTGTGGCCTGATGTGGTGTCCTGAAACCCCCTCTCTCTTCTCCACCATTGTCCTTCCTGTTAGGAATCCAGTTTGTGTTGGTTGTGTTTTTGTTTGTTTTCCCTCCACCACCAGGTGGCGCCTGGTTCTCGTTGGCCCTCTCACACACCTGCGGATGGTTGCCTCATTAACGGAGGACTCTTAAGCTGCTGACTGCCACTACCTCGACGCCAGAGTGTTGCCAGTTTTGGGTACTCTAGCCAAGCTGAGTTTTGCTGAGTCAAACTGAGTTTTGTCAACCTGAGCCTTAATCCTGTTGTTTTGTCTTTGCCTCTCGGCAGGAGGTCATCCTGCAAACTGGATGTTTTGGACCTTCTCCCCCTGGAAGGACTGAGCTGGGGATTCAAACTGGAGGTTTGGATACTTTTCCCCAAAGGATTGTTTGAGCTTCACACTGAATAGGGGATTCATCTCCACAAGATCCGTTGAAGTACCAAAGGAAATCTAAGTGGCAGTCAGCTCCTCCGTTCCTCAAGGAAACACCTTAACCTGGGTAAACCCTGTCCGCCCTCCAACGAGCAACTCAATTACTGGAACAACCCACACCGACTGGATTCAAAGAAAGACACCTTTTCTGGAAACGTGAGTCCTGTTGCCTTTACTCCCTTTTGCAAATCAAAGCTCAAATTTCCCACTGAACTTGAACTAACCACATGAACTTCCTCTTCTCTTTTCAGTCCCGGTTCGCCGGTGTTCAGAGCAGCACTGGACCCATCCCTACCAGTTCTCAATAAACCTGTTAACCCTTCCCTTGTCTCTCTGATTGGTTTTCTGCATGTGGGTCAGATCTTTGAATAAAATCATGACACTTCCTTTCCTATGCAGCTTATTAACCGGCTCTTTTGTTTCAGTAAATCAAGACCCCAAGTGAAAAAACATCACACACATAAATAACACAGGCTATTATGTTCAAGCATTTATTTGTGTTTTAATTATTTTTTCCACTCTACAACTAATTGTTGAGTTAAAATGCTGCTGTTCCTTTATTAAGGCTTGCCTCTCTTTGCTCTTTAGCTCACATGTTTCATACAGTCAATAAGGTCAAACAAAATGAAAGTGACACAAGTTGCAGGATGGAGCCAGTGGGTTTGTCTTTAGAGGTTTTGTATCGATGAAGCCTCACTGCAAAATACCTGCTGCTCAGACCTTCCTCTAGATATTGAAGCATTGGATTTAACGCATTAACTCATTGAAATTAAAGCTTAAAGACTAAATCAAAAACTATTAGCTCATTATCCAGCTGTACCTAGATGTTTATTAGAAAGGATAGAAAGACAAACAGCAATTTAAGCTCAGAATTAAGTCCATAATTTAACAAATGAGTTTTATAAACAGAGCCTCCTTCAGAGCTGTGAAGGACTCGTCCTCTGAGGGATGAGGAGATGTTTCCCTAGAGGTTCAGAGCAGAAGCTCCCGTCTCTGAACACCAGCTGTCCCCTCAGGATGGTAGCGCGCACCACACCCTGCAGTGTGAAGCCCAGGTACGGGGTCAGCTGCGCACACACACATACACAATCAGTCGTTTGAGTGAACATCTAATCTTTGCAACATGTTTTTCCTTTGATTTATACAGGTTTAAATACCTTATTTCTGTGCTGTATGATATCTTCTTCAATCTGTGAAGTGAAAGAAAAGCTGAAACCAAATGCACTCTTGACGGCGGCTAACATCGAATACCTCACACTAACCTGAAAAGCTGTCTCTGGGTCCCATATGACCAAGTCGGCATCAAATCCAGGGGCCAGGGTGCCCTTCAGGTGGCCCAGCCCGCTCAGGTAGGCTGTGTTCCTGCTGAGGAGTCTGACCACATCAGACAGCTGGAAGTCTCTCCTACTGGCTGAACTCCAGAACAGAGGCAAACCTGAAAAATGGCAGCAGTCAGAATGTCAGAAACTTCCTTTAGTTCCTCTGCTTCCATGGGGCTGCATGAATGACCTTTCTACAGGCTGTCTGTTGCTGGGCTTTGACTCATGGAGGCTAGGCGGACGTTCAACTGAAGAAACTCATTGCTTTCCTTCATCCACCTGCGACTCAGCCAATCAGCTTTGAACCACACCTCAACGAAAGCCAATCGGCATCCAAAGTTCATCTTAAAAGGCCTCCGATCCACAACTTGTCTGCTCTGTGCTCAGGCGGCGGATGCGCTTTGACTTAATTCAGATCATCCCCCCTCCAGCCCCTCCTCCACCATCGTAGCTAAAGCTTCATCAGAGTTTCATCCCTCCTGGACTCTCAGTGTGTCCCGCGTCTCAGGTTCTCAGGAGGGTTTTTTTTTCCTATGAGGACTTTTTCCTCTCCACTGTCGCTGCATGCTTGCTCATCATGGACAGGTTCTCTCAACCTGTGTTATCCAAGCTGGACCTCCATCTTCCAGGTCTCTGATTGAAGCTCTAGTATCAGCTCACGCAGTCCACTGGATCTCCCCATAAAGCTGGAGTCTGTTATTTTTTAAATCAATAAGTTTTAAAGTCTGGACCTTGTATTTACTGTTGCAGCACACAGATTAGCTTTTTTTTTTCTCTAAAATACTTCAATATAGAGAGGAGTTCTAGTTCGACTCATTGACCTGACAATGTTTTTTCTGAGATCTGTGATCATCTGACCACAAATCAATTCAATTCAATTTCAATTCAATTCAGTTTATTTATATAGCGCCAAATTCACAACACATGTCATCTCAAGGCACTTTACAGTTCAACCAGATCATACAGTCAAATTGATACAAAGTTTTCTATCTAAGGAAAACCAGTTGATTGCATCGACTCAAATACAATCCCTCACACTAAGCATGCTTGTAGCGACAGTGGAGAGGAAAAACTCCCTTTTAACAGGAAGAAACCTCCAGCAGAACCAGGCTCAGTGTGAGCGGCCATCTGCTGAGGCCCACTGGGGTTCAAGGAGACAGAAGCAGAGACACAAAAAGCAGCTGTAAAAGGCGGCCCCGTCCAGGAAACACACAGCCAGGCAGACGAGCTCCAAGGCAGCTCCCATGCCAGAGGACGAAGAGAGCACATCCACTCAGTCACGGTCAGAGAAACAGGACCACACTGGAAAACAGGCCGATCTCCAACATCTATAAACAAGGGTGTTGATGGAAGCAGCACAGCTGATGTTTCTTTCCAGGATGGAGTCACAGCCAAACAGGAACAGACGAGGCAAAGCTACTCTGAGGAAAAGCAGAGAGAGCAGAAGGTTAGAGATTGAACTAACAGATTCTGCAGTTAGGAGAACAGAGAGAGAATGAAGCAGAATGATGAAAAAGGGGTCCCTATGTCCTCCAGCAGTCTAAGCCTATAGCAGCAGAACTATAGAGATAGCTCAGGATAACCTGAGCCACTCTAACTAGAAGCTTTATCAAAAAGGAAAGTTTTAAGCCTAGCCTTAAAAGTAGACAAGGTGTCTGCCTCACGGACTAAAACTGGTAGTTGGTTCCACAGGAGAGGAGCCTGATAACTAAAAGATCTGCCTCCCATTCTACTTTTAGAAGTTCTAGGAACCACTAGTAAACCTGCAGATTGAGAGCGAAGTGCTCTGTTAGGAACATAAGGAACAATCAGATCTCTGATATCAGATGGAGCTTGGCTATTTAAGGCTTTATTTGTGAGAAGGAGGATTTTAAATTCTATTCTGGATTTAACAGGAAGCCAATGAAGAGAAGCCAGGATAGGAGAGATATGATCTCTCTTTTTCATTTTCATCAGAACTCTGGCTGCAGCATTTTGGATCAGCTGAAGGCTTTTAACTACAGTTTGTGGACTTCCTGATAGTAAAGAATTACAATAGTCCAGCCTTGAAGTAACAAATGCATGGACTAGTTTCTCAGCATCACCCCTGGACAGGATATTTCTAATTTTTGCAATGTTCCTCAGATGAAAGAAGGAAATTCTAGAAACCTCTTTGATATGGGATTTAAATGACAGGTCCTGATCAAAAATAACACCAAGATTTTTTACTTTATTATCTGAAATCAGTTTAATCCCATCCAAATGAAGTGACTGACTAATCAGTTTCTTTTTCAGAGACTCTGGTCCAAAGACTATAACTTCTGTTTTATCTGCATTCAGAAGCAGAAAGTTAAGAGTCATCCAGGTTTTTATGTCTTCAAGACATGCCTGTAATCTATGTAATGGGTTAGCTTCATCTGGATTTATAGACAGATATAGCTGGGTATCATCAGCATAACAGTGGAAATTAATCCCATGCTGTCTAATAACTCTACCAATTGGGAGCATGTATAAAGTAAAGAGAATTGGTCCTAGCACTGATCCCTGTGGTACTCCACAGGTAACCTTTGAGCGTGTTGAAGATCTATCATTAACATGAACAAACTGAATTCGATCAGATAGATCAGATTTAAACCAGTCTAGAGCTGTTCCTTTAATTCCAACAAAATATTCAAGTCTTTCTAAAAGAATATTATGGTCAACTGTATCAAATGCAGCACTAAGATCTAACAGGACGAGCACAGATACAAGTCCATTATCTGAGGCCATGAGAATATCATTAGTGACTTTCACCAGAGCTGTTTCAGTGCTATGATGAGCTCTAAAGCCAGACTGAAACTCTTCAAAAAGTTCATTATGGTGTAAGTGATCGCAAACTTGTTTGGCAACTACTTTCTCAAGAATTTTGGATAAGAAAGGAAGATTGGATATAGGTCTATAATTGACCAAGTCATCTGGGTCAAGAGACGGTTTCTTAAGCAGAGGTTTAATTACAGCAACCTTAAAAGCTTTAGGTACATATCCCTGTAACAGAGATAGATTAATCACATCTAAAATGGAGGAGGAGATCAAAGGGAATACCTCCTTAAATAACCTGGTTGGAACTGGATCTAACATACAAGTTGAAGGCTTAGATGAAGACAATAATTTTGCTAATTCAGAAAGTTCAACTGGATCAAAGCAGTCTAAACCCGGTTCAGATTCCATGACTACCTCAGGTACAATCGCGGATAGAGGAGTGCTTATGATTTTATTTTTAATAAGATCAATCTTATTTATAAAGAATCCCATAAAATCATTGCTGCTAAGAGCAGGTGGAATGGACGGTTCAACAGAGCTATGGCTCTGGGTGAGTTTGGCAACTGTATTAAAAAGAAATCTAGGATTATTCTTATTCTTCTCTATTAATGAGGAGAAGTATGCTGCTCTTGCTTTACAAAGGGTCCTCTTATACAGCATTAAACCATTTTTCCAGACTAGGAAGGACTCCCGCAGGCCTGTGGAGCGATATTTTCTCTCCAGTTTCCTAGCATTTTGCTGCAAAGTACGCAGCTCTGCATTAAACCAAGGAGCAAGCTTTCTATTTTTAACGGTTTTCATTTTCAAAGGAGCTGCGTTGTCTAAGGCAATACGCAGAGAACTAGCAACCCCATCAACAAAATCATCAACCTGTGAAGGGGAATAAGCTAAGCTTTTGCACTCTGAAGCACTGCTCAGCGACACAGAGGAGAGAGAAAGTGAAGCAGATTCTTCCAAATTTATAACTGCACTATCTGATAAAGATCTACTAAAATTGAACCTTCTTTTGGGGGAGGAGAACTCTGTTAAAGTAATCCTAAAGGTTATTAGAAAGTGGTCAGAGAGGAAAGGGTTGTGAGGAAATACTGTTATTTCTTCACATTCTATGCCGTATGTCAGCACAAGATCCAAAGTATGAAAATGAGAATGTGTGGGACTATTCACATTTTGAACAAAGCCAATAGCGTCTAAGATAGCATTAAAGGCTGCTCTTAAGCTATCGCCTTCAATGTCAGCATGGATGTTAAAATCTCCCACTATGATGACCCTGTCAGTATTTAATACCAAATCAGAAAGGAACTCTGAAAACTCATCTAAAAATTCAGAGTAAGGACCTGGTGGACGATACAAAGTTACAAAAAGAAGAGGTTTTCCTGCCTTGAAATTTGGATCAGGGAAATTAAGGGTTAAATGTTCAAAAGAGTTGTAGGTATTAACTGTTTTGGGAGTAATCAGTAAGTCAGACTGGAAGATTGTTGCTACTCCTCCTCCTCGCCCAGAACTTCTGGGTATGTGAAAATTTAAATAGCTTGAAGGAGTTGCCTCATTTATGCTCACATAATCAAACCCAATAATTGCTCCTACACCACAGTTCTTATTGTTGTATCTGGTATTTTGTCTCAACATGGTTCTTAAACACAAAATATGTTAATGAATTAAGTCAATTTCTCTTTTTAAAAAAAAAGTGTTTTTTTCTGTTTTATTGAGGCAATTTGCCAAAGGAATAAGATAATAGAAAAATAGAAAAAAAAAATAACTCCATTATCTTATTTCAGCTGTAAAATAGCAAATTATCTAATTTTTTAGGGAAACAATTTTCATTTCACCTGTTGAAATTAAGCCAAATCCAGCTATTTTAGGAAGTTTGAACATATATTAATAATAATAATTGAATTTTATTAATGTCACACTGGAGAAATTCCCTCTTTGTATTTAACCCATGACCTTTGGGAGCAGCAGGCTGCCACCGTGTGGCGCCCGGGGAGCAGTGTGGGGTTTAGGGACCCAGAGTGGGGCTTGATCTCTTTTCAAAACATTTTTTTCTTTCTGAGAATTGAATAGTTTTGGACTTTTGGATGAACTTTCTAAAAAGTGGGAAATCTGTTATTTGGAAAACATAAACCTTCCTGAATTGATGTGCAGTAATGATTTAAGGTCACTGATCTGTTTCTACCATTGACTAACAAAAAATATTATTCCTTGAATGACTACAAAGCACCCAGATCCAGCTCTAGTTAGGTCTACATCATCAGCCCTCCACCACCGTGCTTTACATCTGAAACACAAGAATTTAAGTCCAATCAGCTCCACTCTGGTTTAATCTGCTTCTCGTGTTGAGTCTGTTAATTATTAACCTCCTTAATGCCATAGTGTGAATTGTGCTCAATTATTATTGAAGCTGTCGTGGTGAAGAGAGAGCTGAGCGAAAAGGCAAGGCTCTCAATTTACCGTTCGGTCTACGTTCCTACCCTCACCTATGGTTATGAAATTTGGATCATGACCGAAAGAACGAGATCCCGGATACAAGCGGCTGAAATTAGCTTCCTCCGCAGGGTGGCTGGGCTCTCCCTTAGAGATGGGGTGAGGAGCTCGGTCATTCGGGAGAGGCTCAGTGTAGAGCCGGTTCTCCTCCACATCGAGAGGAGTCAGTTGAGGTGGCTCGGACATCTTCTTCGGATGCCCCCTGGACGCCTTCCTCGGGAGGTGTTCCAGGCACATCCCACTGGGAGGAGGCCCAGGGAACGACCCAGGAGACTACGTCTCTCCAGCGTGTCCTGGGAGCGCCTAGGGCTTCCCCCAGCAGAGCTGGAGGAGGTGTCTGCGGAGAGGGAAGTCTGGGAGTCTCTGCTTAGTCTGCTGCCCCCGCGACCCGGTTCCTAATAAAGCGGGAGACGACGAGTACGAGTATTATTGCAGCCAAGAACACTTTTGGAAAAAATAATTTCCTTTAAATGTGCAATCCAGAAAGGCAACAAAGGACCCCCCCAAAAAAATAAAAATAAAAAGAGTGTTATTTTGTTTTTCAATTTTTCGATTTTCAATCAATTTATTTCCAACTGTGATATTTTTTTTAATTCTCTTTTCCAGATTGAGTTTTCTGAATTGCTTTTTTTTTCTTCCAATATTAATTAATTTAAAACTAACACAATCTATTGTACATTGATTAATAAAAATCTTGTTGCTAACATCAATGCAGACCAGTAGAAATGCAACCCCCCACCCCAATCCAGAGGAAAGCCTGCCTGCAGAAGGGAAGAGAATGTGAACTGTAGAACACAATTTGAAAAGAATGCAATTAATATATATGAAATCCATAAAAACATCTGGGCAGATATTCTTTTTTTAAGCTCCATTAAGCAGACACTAAATACCGTTAACTCTAGAGATAGATAACTGCAAAAAAACTGCAATAAAAAATAATGGCTTAAAGAGGCATTACAGAGTTTTCTAATGATAATGCCACCTATGGCCCAAACACAAAACTGCAGCACTCTTCTGCTCCATCTCTTAGTTCACATTTGATTCACCTTACTAGCATTGCCACTGATGTCTGAGTTGAGCTGGATGCCGCTCACTTCTGAGTATCCACAAAATCCATCTTGACTATTACGCTTCCATTGTTTGCTAGGTTGGACGCGTTAAACATGGCGCCACGCTAAGTAAATTCAGGAGAACAGGCTACAGGCTTAGAGACGTATAAACTCTGAACTTCTGAAGCGTCAAACACTGGTTTAGTCTTAAAGTTGTAGGGAAGTCATATTTAAAATTCAAATAATTCTGGCTTAAACATGTATATAAATGTTCTCTTTATCAGACCATATTGTCCCAAAAGTTAGAAAATTTCTAATTAAAAAAATCCTGTCTTAAAATCTGTGTTGTTTTTTTGTTTCCTTTATCTTCTGCAGGCCAGTTAGTTCTACGTCAGCCTGAACACCTAAATTCAGCCAATCCTATATCAACGCTCATCTGTCAATCACATGTTTTCGGTCATAGCATCTTGATTCATGTGTCGCAGCTAATATACGCAACGGTTGAAACCAGAATCCTTTCCTTTCCCATTGAGTTGCGTCCCAGTGTTCAGGGGGATGGACGTCTGTGTCTTCGGCAGGCGTAGAGCTAACAGAACTGGCAGCGTTGCGAGGCAAGGGCTCAAACATGTACGGCTGGAAGCCTTCTACACCAAACCAAGTTTCTGCCGCCCTGGCGTCCTCTTCCACAACATCTTCGTCCCCGCTTTCCTCCTCTAAATAAAAAATGGATGACGGAGGAGACTCATCCACGACCTCCGACACTAAACTCTCCTCCTCTTGCATGTTTCCGCTGTCCATAGCGTTCCTTGACAGCGTCGTTTCTAAGGCACCAATTTAGTGCTACTTGGTCCCAATGGAATTTCCCATTGGTAACCTGCTAGCACTAAGTTGCTAACTGGTTAGCAAGATGCTTCAGACAAACCGACCACAGCCATAATTTCTTTCGAACCTTCCGCCACAACAATCCCGCCCCCTTGATAATCGACCAACCACATTCACTTTATTCACTCGTGTAAAGTCGTGCACCACTGGGAGAACTCGGAAATGCAACGGTTGGAACAGCCGCTTCCCTACGACTTAAAGGGTCAAATAAAAAGGCTGTTTCAAAGATATTGTTCAGTAGAAATTACATAATGTCTCTTTAACATAAAATACAAGATTTATAAAGCCACAGAATTACATTTTTACTGTTTTTTTAAACCTTTAAGTGATATGATGATCTAGTGTGTAACTGATTTCGTGACTTTGACAGCAGCCACCAGTTCAATCAACATCCGAACACCGTACCAAACTGCAAAGATGAAATCCCTCCCCAAGCCTCCATAAAGTCGCCACGCTCCGGTTTCTTAAGGTCAGGGGTGCAGGGCGAGTGATCAGACACCACCATGTCGATCTGTCCTGTTTTCAGCGCAGACCATAACTGCTCCTAGAAAATAAAATCCACATTCAAATCATTGCTTTTACTTTTCCACAAGTGAAATGTATGTTTTTGGAGTTAAAGAAGAGTCTATCTACCTGGTTGGCAGAGTCTCGGATAGGTGGACAACACTTAAACTGGGTGGCCCCCGCAGGCACGTTTTCAGCCGATAAGCTGAGATAATGATGGGTCGTCTCCACTGTTAAGGGGGCTCCAGCTTGTCGAGCTTTCTGGATCAGTTTCAGAGCCTTTGCAGATGACAGGTGAACAATATGGCATCGCACCCTGAAACAGGAAGATTGTTGGAAGAATAATGAAACTTAAAAATCCGCCTTTTTTTGTCAGTTCAAAAACATACTAGCGAATCCTATTGCTATGCTACTAGATGAAACAAATAGTTTTAAAAGTACTAAACAGGATAAAAGTCTGTATTCAAAGCACAAATTTAGAGATACTTTGGTGCTGACTACTTGTAAATGAACGATTTGTGCGTTATAGGTTAGATTATTATTATGCAGGTTGTGGATGATAGATGTAGACATTTTACATTTTTATCTTATTTCATTTTTTGTCAATTCTATTTAATTCTATCGAAATGTCTCTTTTCAGTTGTACATTTAGCTGTTTTTTGTCGCATTGAAATTTTTTTTTTATATTTATGTTTTTTAGAAGGAACACAAAGGAATAACTGTCTGTAAAACTCAGCTAACTGGAATCTGAATAATAAACTAAACTAAAACACGACACCTAAATGGAAAAAAATGTAGAGATAAAAAAAATATATACCGTAAATTCTCTAATATTGGCCTGTATTCCATTAGCGGCCGGGACTCTAACATTGGCCGGTCTCGCTGTCAGAGAAGGTTAATAATGGCCGGTCTCTAATACAGGCCGGGGCTATAAACGTTTTTTCTGGGCATACCTCAACATTATACTTGTGGTAGTAACATACAAGTACCACAGCCCTGCGCAGCTGGACGACAGGCCCTGACTGCTGCCCGTCTGCGCGAGGAAGAGAACAGACACGCAGCAGAACAGGAGGAGCGCGAGTGATGAGGAGATTAAAGGGAGAGATGAAGAGGAGGAGAAAAACTGAGGAGGAGAATTAAACAGAATTGGAGGATTTTTTTTTTTTTTTTACTTCAAACCAAGCGAGACATGGTAACTGTACTTTTTCAATAAATGAACCTAGTGTTTTATAGGTTCAAATAGACACAAAATCTCATTTTTATTCATTCCACTGGTAGTCTGTTTTGCTCAAATAGCAATAGAGGCCTGTCTCTAATTCTGGCCTGTATCCAATAAAGGCCTGGACCGCGATGCACTTGAGTGAAATAAAGGCCCGGGCCTATATTAGAGAATTTACGGTAAACTAAAACACAACACCTCAATGGAAAAAAAATCCTCTTTCGACAAAATGGGAATGTAGAGATAAAAAAAATATATACCGTAAATTCTCTAATATTGGCCTGTATTCCATTAGCGGCCGGGACTCTAACATTGGCCGGTCTCGCTGTCAGAGGAGGTAAATAATGGCCGGTCTCTAATACAGGCCGGGGCTATAAACGTTTTTTCTGGGCATACCTCAACATTATACTTGTGGTAGTAACATACAAGTACCACAGCCCTGCGCAGCTGGACGACAGGCCCTGACTACTGCCCGTCTGCGTGAAGAAGAGAACAGACACGCAGCAGAACATGAGGAGGAGCGCGAGTGATGAGGAGATTAAAGGGAGAGATGAAGAGGAGGAGGAAACTGAGGAGGAGGATTAAACAGAATTGGAGGATTTGTTTTTTCTTTTTTACTTCAAACCAAGCGAGACATGGTAACTGTACTTTTTCAATAAATGAACCTAGTGTTTTATAGGTTCAAATAGACACAAAATCTCCTTTTTATTCATTCCACTGGTAGTCTGTTTTGCTCAAATAGCAATAGAGGCCTGTCTCTAATTCTGGCCTCTTTCCAATAAAGGCCTGGACCTCGATGCACTTGAGTGAAATAAAGGCCCGGGCCTATATTAGAGGATTTACGGTATATATATTTATACCCTTTGAACGTTTCTGTATTTTGCCACTGGAGACTTCTATGGGGGCTGGGGCCGGTTAGGCAGATGGGGGGAAGCAAGAGGCCGCCAGTGTCCAGGCTACCGTCACCGAGTCGGATTTGGTCGGTTAGCCTTTCTTGGCTGTTTGTAGTTGTGGGTTTTCTGTCATTATCCTGTTGACCTGCAACTGAGGCCAAGCTCTCTGACTCTGAGAATCACATTTCTATCTAGAATCCTTTTATAGTCTTGAGATTTCACTGTACCCTGCAGAGCTTTAAGACACCCTGTGCCAGATTGAACAGAACCACCTCCGTGTTTCACAGTTGGGACAGTCTCTTTTTCTTTATATGCTTAGGTGTTCCATCTGTTTACACAGAGCTGATATGTCTTTGTAAAAAGCTCCAGTTTTGTCTCATCTGTCCAAAGGGCGCTCTTCCAGAAGATTTATGGCTCGTCAAGATAAAGTTTGGCAAATTAAAGCTACAGTGTGTAATTTTCAGCGACATCTAACGTCCAGACTGCAGACCGCAGCAACATGAACATCTCCCCCCCACCGCTTCTCCCCCCCAACAGTACGGCGAGCGGTACGGGACAAAATGTCTTCCACGACGTCAGCATCACCTACCTTCTCAAGTGATGAGGTTTGTTTACATAGATAATTTTACAGATAGTATTTCATTAGTCTGTGTAGGGTATAGATTTCTGTACCGTCTCAGTTCATCTCTCTCAACTTGCCATAGTTACTTTCGAGCGTAATGGGCGATCTCGCAATTGCTAGCTTGTTGGCTCTGCGCTGCCGTAGCGCAAAGATGTCTGCCTCCATGGCTGCGAGACCCGCTCCTATGTAATTATAAATAACGAATTCTAAGGCAACGCAAATATTAAGGTTAAGAGGCTGAGCTCGTAGATGATGATAAATAACATAGTTATGTATAATATATTACATTTCTGACTGTATATCCCTGTAATTATTACACACTGTAGCTTTAAGTCAACTTTGGCTTAAATAACAGGGTTGTGGCCCGCTTACAGCCTCCTCTAGGTCTCTTGGTGTACTGACCTGTCTCCTGGTAGTGATTTCAGCCCCTGGACACTACGCTAACAGACACAGCAAGGCTTCTTGCCAAAGCTTACATTGATGTGCCATCCTGGATGAGCTGCACTACCTAAACCAATTGTATGTGTTGTAGAATCAGTCTCATGAGTGTGAATGCACCAACATGTGAAAGCGACTGACCCCCGGCTCACACCGACTCCGGTCTTACCTTTGCGGTGCGGTGGGTGCGGCGCCGCAGTGATTCCAAGTCATTAAAAAGACGTAAACCTCTCTCACCGGCTGCTGAGCTGTCCGGCTGCGGTTACCGAGACACTCCGGCGCTGCAGAAAATTCCGCAAGAAAGCTATCCTTGCGGCGTGCCGGAGCCCTCCGCAACAAGCTCTCGCTAATATCCTTATTTGGGCCGTGTTATCGCGTGAAGTTACGTGAACACAAGTGAACTTCTGTTATATCTCCGGACCTGTTGCCGGAGCCGCAGAGCCGCACCGCACCGTAGTCAAAAGGGCGGTGTGAGAGGGGGTGTGCGGGAGTTGCGGTTTCCGTCGGCTCGGTAACCGCACCGGAGCCAGTGTGAGCAAGGGGTAAAGCATCAGAAAGCAAAGGCATTGATCCTTCATAGAGTGAGTCTTGCTAACTGCCACTAATTTCCACCTGTTGTCTATCCCATTTGCTCAACCGCAGGTGAAATTGATCGTCAACCAGTGGTCCTCCTGAGTGGACAGTTTGATTTCACAGAAGTTTGTTTTATTTTATGTTATATTGTGTTGTTATGTTCCATATTTTTTTGTTCCCTTTATTTCCTGAGCATTGCATATCGGCCCACTCGCTGGTTACTAGATTAAAGACACCCGCTATGCTAATCAGTGAGCACCCATTGATTTAACATGCCCCTTACGTCATAGTATTTTCAGTATTTTCTAGTGTTACCATCATTCTTTTCAAGGTCTGTTTCCGATATATATTTTTTAAACGATTCTATTGAAGCACGGTTGAAAAGCAATGTGTGCCTTTGTTTTAGTTACTTTTTATAGCACTTTTATTTATCACTATGTTTGTCTGATTCAACTTGTTTCTGACACCATTGTGGGTTTTTCTTTCATTATAGAGTTACTGACAATTTCATCCAGACGTGTTTATGATAAAAAACGAAAAATGTTGGTCTTATTCTATTATAGTGTTAGTATCCCTTTCCAAATGTTTGTCTTTCTCTCATTTTGTTAGTATTGAACTAATAATCCAAATTATAATTTCAAAGCTTTGTTTGTAAAGAACTGTATTAACGTTCCAATCTCTTACTGGTATCGCAGACAGAGTTCTGTAACAGTCCGGATAGCTTCTATCTCCATAACATCTGGTCGGGACTGAAGGAAAGTGGAGTACTTGGAAGGGTCTAAACGCAGGAAGGGAGGGTTATAAAGAAAATTGAATGAAAACAAAAGTTATTTCTTTATCCTAATGAAATTGGTATTCAAAGATTTCTGTCTAAATTAATTCTTGATTAAATTAAATCCTAATTAGTTTACTGTTGTAAATTATTACAAAAATCTTTAGCAGTTTTGCCTAAAATAATTTTTTTCCTGTTCAGACAATGAATGTACCAAAGAGCAGAAAGAAAGTATTTTCACAGTCTACAACTTCATTTCATTTAAAGTGTGAGACTTTTACCACCATCAGTCTTCCCTGATGTTGGCTGAACATCCAGCTCTGCGTGAAACTAGAGGAGACAAAACAAATGTTTTAGTTCGTCACTAGAGGTTTCATCAGAGACGGTAATCATTCAGAGGTAAGTGGAGGAAATCACCAGGAGGACACTTCCTGTCCCCTGAAGCTGCTTCATGGCTGTATGGAGGTCAAACTCCTCCACATGGGGAAACTCGTCAACGCCGCTGTTGATGAGGAAACATTTGAAGCCAGCAATTCCAGCCTGGATCATGGGCCGAAGTTCAAGCTAATTGGACGGGTTGATATTTTGGTAAGTCCTTGGTATAACAATATTAAAGAGATATGGTACTCGTTTTATTTTCACTACATTTGCTCCACTGTACCTGATTTCCAGGTACAACGCCTCCCCAGAAGGCCACATCCACAAAGCACGTCTCTGTGGCCCCCTTCAGCTTCTCGTGAAAATTTCTAAGTGTCGTAGTTGGAGGGATGCTGTTTCTGGAGAGGTGAGAAGCAAATGCTTTCTTAACAAGCAGCAAGCAGCAGAGGCATCCCGTCTGACATCGGCTTCAAAGCTGAAAACGCTGTAAAGCTTTGAAGCTAAAGTAAAGAAAAAATGGACAACAATGACAATCCAGCTGAAGCTATGGAAGCTCATTGGTAGAATTCCCATATGACAGAAAGAAGGCTGACGATTCACACCATCTATCATCCGGAGGGGGGAACATTTATTTACAAAACCGAATTCATACAGCTGTCTTAAACACTTCATACATTCAGCGCTATGTCCTCACATCTGTAATTTCCCCCAACCTTCACTCCATTGTGGGCGGCATTTATAGTTTCCACATCGCACTGTGTGGATGCACGTGCACGACTGGATGCTCTTCCTGGAAATATCTTAGCTCATGACCTGATTGCGTGCGAGTCAGCCAGGAAGAACCCTGTTTTTGCCAAGATTCGTACGTGACTCCCTGTTTACATGTTGCATTCTCTGTGTTGCTAAGTGGGCATAAGGTCAGAAACAGGACTACATAACGCAGTACTACTGCTTCCATATTTGGCAAGCCAGCCAGATATTTATATTCTACAGCATTAGAGACTTTATTATTGCTAAGACTCATACTTGAACTTCAAGATGTACTGTTTTGTTGCTAAGTAAGTATAGGGCCATGTTGTAGGATACATTCTGATTTCTGATTCTGATATAGGACAATAAAACTGCTTCTACAAAGCCTACAGTTGAGACTAGATATTTACATTCCATTCATTGTCTTCTCTAACGTTAAACCAGACGAAACTTTTACCCTTTTACTATATAATGAAATAATCTAATTTAACAAAGTGTGAAAGTTTGAGAGAGAGATTATGCTCTTGAATGCCTCAAAACAATTAATAGGCTACAAACCCACATGTAGACATCAATAATATTGTCAACAACTCGAAACTTTGGACTCAATATTCAAGCAGACAGATTCAGATGATTTCACACAAGTCTTTATTTTAACAGAAAGCTCTTCAGCTGGAGCGGATTACCGGATCCCCTGAAGGAATGGAAACTCAGGTCAGTGACTCAGAATTAAAGGCTGGCATCGACTAAGAGTTATAGTCCCTGACCTGGTCCAGAGTTCAGTCCGATCTGAGAGGAAGGTGATGAATCTAAGAGAGACTGTCCACCGCTTACAGCGGGCGCTGCCTTCAGAGCTCCGGGTGAGGGGCAGAGCCTACGCCAGCCGACGCCGGGGAGCAGCAGTGTCTAGAATGGAATATCCTGAGCCGAAGTCGAAGGAGAACCAGGTTTATGGACCAGAAGATCAGAGAGCCCAAGAGGTGCCAAGGGAGAATCCAAGCCGAGGAAAGAAGGAACAGTCCAAGTTCACTAAGCCGGTAGAATCCAGGAATCAGTCCAGAACTGATCAGACTAACAGAGCCGCAGGGCCAAAGCAAAACTCGGGATCCACAAAACAGAAACAGGTCAGAATCAGAAAGTCAGAACAATAATCAAAACGCTAGAGTTACTCTCACCAAACAGCTGGAATAATCTAGCGCTGATGGCAGGAAAGCGAAAGGCATAAATAGCTGAGGGAACCAGGTGAATCAGAACGGCGCTAATCAGCTGCAGGACCAATTAGACAGGTGAGCAGCGGCAGATGGAAAAGCACAACCATCAGCACCTAAACCATGACAGATATATAATTATATTCTGATCATTTTAAAGAGTTTTTTCTGTTTGTTTTTTGACTATTTCTCCAGCTTTTGAAAATACTCTCCCATGGGGAACTGGTGTGATAAAGTACTGTCTGGCTCAGTGGTAGTGCTAGTTTTATGCTCTGCCCAACATTTAGGTGGAACCTCTGCTCAGTTCAGATGAGGAGCAGATCAGTATAGAGCACCTGTAAAACCAAGGTGAAAACCCATTATTACATTATTCATCTTCCCTATAATATATTTAGCATCAGTAAGAACTGCACCTCTAGGATAACATGATACTATAAATACTATACTACTGACAGTATATGCCGTCTGTTTAGGCTTTCTAAGCCTAAGGCTGAGCTCCCTCCCATTTGCTGCAGCCTACTGCATCATAATTTTCACATTCCCTTTTTCCCTTATTTTTTGATTCAACTTTTCCTATAAGACTTTTCCTGTTTGGGTTATAAGTTCTGTAGCTTGATATGAAGACTGCTGCAATTTCCCACCAAAATTCCTTCTTGCAGATTCCAAAAAAAGTTAAAATCAATCCACTGGACTTTGTTTCCAAGTTTGAAGACTTTTCTCTTCTCATCCAGGAAGCTTTTTCAATTTGCATGTCAGAAATAGCGTTGAGTTTCTTTATCCAGCAGCCCAACAAAGCCTTGTTTTGGTTTAGAAAACATGCAAATAGAAATGGACGAATGGATCCACCCCTTTGGAACGGGGGTCATTTGGTTTCTTTGTTAGCCTGCAATGCCCCATACCTCTATGTCTCTATGGCCCCGTTCAGACAAAGTCAAAACGAACACGAAACGCTAATATTTTCCAGAACGTTTGTCGTAAAGACGGAGACGTAAAATAAATGTGAGCGTCCACAGGAATGCATGAAAACGCTGCAAAATGTATGCCAGGCCTGTAAGTGGCGCTGTGGTGCCAAAGCAAAAATAGGCGACGAAATGTTGGCCATGCGCACTAATATTTATACATGGTTGCCCTGCGGGTCCATTTTCGTGGTTCAGTCAAATTCAGGTGCTGAACTATGTGGTCGATATTGCTCTGTTCTTCCTGGAGATATTCCAGAAGAAGAAGATTCTGTTGTAAGCCCGACAGCAGGGTGTGTAGCATTAGCAGCAACGGCGCCATTGTTGTTGTGATACTGTGTCGCGCATGCGTGTTTAGAGGCGACGCTATGACGCATGCGTGTAAGAAAAAAAATGCGATTAGAGCTTAAAGATGGAAACGCGAAAAAGGCGTTTCAAAATCTTCCCACTCTGAAGGCTTGATAAAAAAAAGATCGTTTACAGACCCCCGAAACGCCGGCTTCGTATGGATGAGAGGCTGGTTTGGTGAAAAATTTGTCCGTTTAGGCCAGGGTTTGACTTTGTGTGGACGGGGCCTATGTCTCTGAAAGGGGGTCGTTAAAGGGAATTGTTGGCCTGGATGAATAGGCGACGTCTTCTGTTCTCCTGTAAAGGGGTTGGGGTTGCCATGATAGCGGGAAGGAATCAACTCAATTACTGCATTTGTAGGTTTTTGAAAGCTGAAATCTGAGTTCCCCCCCCCCCAACATAGAGGGCCTGGCCTCAGAAACAAAGTCCAGTGGATTGTTTTTTAACTTTTTTGTAATGACTTTCACCTGTGGTCTGAGAATCTACACCAGCATATTCCTTTTAAAGAAACTATTTTTTGCTCTGTATGGCCCTTTTGGCTGTACCTGCGCTGTACCTGATGTGAACATATACATTGATTTTAATCATGTGGATTCCTTGCAGGGCTCACACCGCAAGAAATCCAACGCCATCAGTGTTCAACTTTACTGTAATTCTTCATTGAATCTTTCAATCCAGCATGCTGCTTCTAAGCGTACATGTTGACCTTGGAACAGAACATTAATCAATGAGAGTTGGAATACTATGTTCAGCACGTAGTTCATCGATCATTCGTATGATCTTTGTAATCCTGTCATACAAGACGTCAATATATTTTTCTTTTTATTCTCTCTAGCCCCTGTGATCTTTATATAGAACAATTATTCTCCAGTACCATTAGTGTTTTAGATTTCTCCTCACTGCCACACACCTAACTACCATAAAAGAAAGATTACAGACTGTTGCAGCTCTCGATGGCTGCTGAGGGATGGCATGCTATCGTTTAAATCAGGTGTGCTGCTGCAGAGAGAACATGCAGTTTTGTGAACTACTAACACACAGTTTTAACATACAACTGCAGTGATCAAAGGGTGTATTTGAAACTTACAAGGGCATGTCCACTATAGTTGTCACTCCTCCCGCTGCGGCAGCCCTGGTGGCCGTCCAGAAGCCCTCCCACGACGTGCGACCTGGCTCGTTCACATGAACATGGCAGTCTACAACGCCGGGCATCACCACGCTGTCACCCACATCCAGCACCTGCAGTCAGGCTCATTAGTCAGTGATGGAGATTCATGTCTATTTCTGACCAAACAGACAGGAAGGATTCAAAGCGTTGACCGCCAGCTTACCTCACAGCCGACATCCTCAGTAAAATTACTTCTTGAGAGTATTTGCTGTATTTTTCCATTTTTAATTATTACCACAGCCGGACTGACTTTGTTACCAATTAGTACCCTGTTACTCTTAACCGCACTAACTACTGATCCAAGCTCCATGCCTTTTTTCTTTTTTTGCTGAGAGTTAATGAGTACAGAAAGACTCTTGGAGCTCAGCCTTTGTGAGGAAGATGTAATTTCAGCATTTCAGTGGTTGAAAGCAGAGGCCCCGCCTCCTGCTCTACAGGGCACACCATCAGCAGTTGTTTACTTTTCTTCTTTTAGTGCAGCTGGCTGAATCACAAGTGCAAATAATAAGCTTCCTGAACGCTGGGAAAAACATTATGTAGTCTATTGTTTTGATATTAGTGCACTTAAGCTTTTAGAGTTTTAAACATAAAAATGTTTAGTTATTTATTTTTGAATATAAGGGTTTAATTTAGTCTCTCTTAAATCACAAAACTAATGGATAAAGTTAGTCAGTGTTCTAGTGTGAAGCAGTCTGACAGATTAAATCTGTTTCCTGAACTGATCGCAGTCTTCTTGATGAGATATTGGAGAAGCAATAGCCTGAAGCTTCTGTGCTGCTGTGAGCGAGGAAGCTGGACAGAAATGGTTCAAACACGCTGCAGGTTGCTGAGTCGGGTTCTTAGATGGACGGGTACATCATGTTCCAGATTTTTTTAAAAGGAAGGGAAGGTTGTAGATGAGCCGGAAGTTTGTGGGTTCATTGAATCAGGGTCAATGTTCATGTCTGACAGGAGTTCAGAGACATGGGTTGGAGAAATTGGTTGAAAAGTTGGTATGTTACTGAATAAAGGGAAGGGATAACTGCATATGTCAGATCTGGGTAGAAAGCAGGGCATGTGTCCAGTGTAAATGATGAGGAAATAATGTAAGGGTGTTTGAGGATTTTACTGAAGAAAAAAGAGTGTCTGAGTTATTTGGGTCAGAGAGAACGAGGGAGGAGCTGGACCTGGCTGTACGGAAAACATCATTATATTGTTGGAGATAATCCGTTCAGGATGGATTTGGTGAAGTTCTGGAGTGCACAAAGGAGCAGTGTGAGAGAATGGAAGCGTGATACTATTAATAGGAACTAGTGTGTCAAGACAGTAATGTATTGTAGTGGATAAGAGGGATTGCCAGACTGTGGGGGAGGGAAAGCAAAAAGCTTTATGGCAAGGCTGAGGATTCATAGTGTTATTGTCTTAAAAGTGCAGAAGGAAATTGTGCATTTAGTTTTTGAACTGAGTATCACTATACATACAGCCAGGTGTTCAGATACAGGTTATAAAAAGCAGAAAATGGGGGTTAGGAGACCAGTACATGCACTCTGGATAAACCCGATTAGATTAACAGAAGTAAAAAGATTACATCAAAGTTTTCAAGGTGATAAAATCCCAAGTTATCAGAAATTCATTTTCTTATTAAGTTCTACTTAGAGGCTGCACAGTGGAGCACTATTTAGCACAGTTGCATTGAAAAAAAAAGGTCCTGGGTTTGATTGCTGTGTTCTCCCTGTGCATGCAGGAGTTTTCTACTCCAGCTTTCCCAAAAGTCCAGAAAAATTACTTTTAGGTTAATTGGCGTCTCTCAACAGACCTTACGTGTGAAAGTGTTTGGTTATTAGACTCTGTGATGCTTACTGCCGATTTGTGCAGCCTCTCTATCATAGACTGCTGGAGATAGACACCAACCCCACCCTGACGGATAAGCAGGACAGGATGAATGGCTGGATTAAGTTAGTTTAATCAAAATACTTCATTACGACAAATCAAAGCATTTACTTCACTCTATTTAAAGTGTTTAAGTGTATCAAACAAAACCTTTTTTTTTTTGCAAAAACTATAAGGTTCAGTTGTTTTTAATTCTTCTGTGATCCAATAAACATTACAAAGTATTGAACAACTGTGAGGCAAGTTGTGTCTTTGCTGCTGCTTCCATCACATCACCTTCATTTATAGTGCTGATGAAGGTTCCCAGTCATCCATGTCATAGTCATTCCGTAAAAATGACTTGAGAAAGCTTCCTGGAGAGGTGGCGAAACGTCTTCAAATCTTGGAAACCAAGTCCAGTGGATATTTTTTGAATTTTTACGGAACTTCATTTATAGTCTGCCACTCAGCAACATTTTCAAACCTCATTCCTGGTGTTGCAGCACTAGTCTCACCCATTGCTAACCCGTCAGACAATGAGGTCTAATTGCCAAAATATACACAAACACCTCCTCATTACTTTTATTATTTGACACCCAAATAATTCAGATTAATCAAAAGGTTTGAGTTGAATGTACCAAAAAAATGTAGCAAAAATGTGACAAAATATAGAGTTTAAACTACTGAGTCTAATTAATCACTTTCATCATTTTGGGTTAGAGTGACCAACATTTTCACTGCAGAAAATATTTTTAAGGCAAGGCAAGGCAAGGCAAATTTATTTGTATAGCACAATTCAGTACAAAGACAATGCAAAGTACTTTACATGATTAAAATACAGGAAGATAAAACAGAATCAAAGCAAGCAGGAAAAAGTACATAAATAAATAAAAAATGCAGAAACAAAAAAGAATATTAAAAACAGTTGGACTAAAGAAAATATGTTTTAGTTGAACTGTTTAACTAGAACAGTGGAAGGCAATCCTAATCAAATGTGTTTTTAGTCTTGATTTAAAGGAACTCGGGCTTTCCGCACTTTTCCAGTTTTCTGGAAGTTTGTTCCAGATAAGTGGAGCATAGGAACTAAATGCTGCTTCTCCATGTTTAGTTCTGGTTCTAGGTCTGCAGAGCAGGCTGGAGCCAGAAGACCTGAGTGGTCTGGAGGGTTGATACACTGATAGCAAGTCTGTGATGGATTTAGGTGCTAAGCCATTCAGAGATTTATAGACTAACAGAAGGATTTTAAAGTCTATTCTCTGAGATACAGGGAGCCATGATTTTCGATTTGTTTGCATTTAATAAATATTTGACATGGTCTATATTCATTTTAAAAAGTGGAGAGGAATTGTATTTATGTAGGACTGTGTTCTGGACTTTTGCATCCAGGAAGTAATAAGAGCTTTGTTTGGTCTTGACCCTTTAGGGACAAGCAGTGTTGAAAGAACTGCAAATGTTTCAGTTTTTTTCACCCCTTGAAGGCTTACAGTCGTTCAGTGACTTTTTTCTATTTGTTTTCTGTGATACACTGATCTTTGTACCCTTTATTTTGTATCATGCATGCAGTTCATGTCAGTTTTATTTGTATTTGTACTTGTGTGCTAACATCCCCAGGTGTAATAATGTGCAATGTTCTAATGTTTAACCTGCTTTCCCAAAGCTGATCAAGGTCGATTCACCGCTGCTCTCCGTTTTCAGCAATTTTATTCACACTAACAAGACATTTACCGTCTGTTACACTTTGCCATCGCAGTACAAACCGAAAAAGTTAAAAAACAATCCACTGGAATTTGTTTTCAATGTTGAGGACGTTTTGATTCCTGTCCAGAAAGCTTTTTTAAAAATATGTCAAAAATAGCGTTGAGTTTGGGACTTTATAGAGTGGACCAAAAAAACAAAGCCTTGTTTTGTCTTAGAAAACATGCAAATTGAACCAGACGAACGGGTCCACCCCTTCTGAATGGGGCTCGTTTGGGTTCTTTGTTAACCTGCAACACCCAGGCTATAAAGGTTCGAACTCAACGCTAATTCAGACATTTTGAATTGAAAAAGCAGCAGGGATGCATGATATTGGGATTTTGGCCGATATCCGATATGCCGATATTTTAAAACTCATGTAGCCGATAACCGATATCGATACCGATGTTAAAGCTGGACAAAAATAAGTAGTCATCTAAAATAGCAGTTTTGTTATCCATTTCTGACACTTTGAAAAATAATATACTCAAATATATTTTCATATGCTGATATCAAATAGATTTTTAAAAACGCGGTATCGATCTATTTTACATTCAAAATCTGGTGAAATTTCATCGTTCTGTTACAAACTCTCGTGATATTTTGCAAATTCTTGTGAGATTTTGTTAGTAAAATAGATCGATACCGCGTCAGTATATAAACATATAAAAATATGGCAAAATTTGGTGAATTTTCGTGGGATTTCGTAGCATAACGATGACAGATAGCAATATTTCATTAGTAAAAGAGATTGATATGGTGTTTTTAAATGGCAATATATCAGCATATGAAGATATTGGGATATTTTAATGGATCAATATTTTTTCCCTCGTCTTTAGAAGTTATTAAGTCAGCAAAAAAGAAGTTTTAGAGGAAGAAGAAGAAGTAGAAATTTTTATTTTTTTTAGACTTTAGAAACTCAGAAGCTGATCAAATATCGGGTTAAATATCGGTGGGGTGGCCGATGTCCGATATTCAGTTTTAAGATTATATCGTGCATCCCTAAAAAGCAGTTAGGATGGGAACGGAAACGTCTTGAAACTTGGAAACAAAGTCCAGTAGATTGTTTTTAAACTTTTATAAAATGACAATGACCTGGATGCCTGATAATCTTTACCAGCATACAGTACAAATATTTTCACATAAACACATGAACTTAATACGTACCTAATATGTTATGGTATTGTTCAAAAGATGACATAACTGGATTAATTTACATATTCAACTTCTGCCAACTGAAAATATTGCTTTTGTTCACAAAAATCCAAGATTATAGAGGTCCATGTGATTTAGAAAGAGCATGCATAGCAGCAAGGGTAGCATTTCCTTTCTCTGCTTCTAAACCCTGAGATGTTCAGAAGCTGCTGGTTCCTTCTAATTGGTGCACAATCATTTTTGTTCATAGGTACAGTGTGTAATATTTACAGGGATTTATTGGCATAAATGGTATATATTTTCTATATGTACGATTATTATTACCTATGAACTGAAAGTCTAAATCTTTATGTTTGCCTTGCTTTAGAAATCGCTATTTATAAATACGCAGGACTTGGTTCCCATTTGTGGAGGCAGACATTTTTGTGTTATGGCAGCTCAGAGCTGAAACTAGTGACTGTAAAGATCACCTTTACGCCTGAATGAGACTATGGCAAGTTATAGAGCATAGAATCCTACACAGCTTAATAAAATACTATTTAAAAAACTATCTATGTAAACTAGACTTAATGCGGCTCCAACCAGCAGATCATTTCCAAGGTGCAAACCCAGGGTGCAGACCAGGAAGCAGAGTCGTAGT